TATACGTAGCCCTTTCGTTCTACGGTGCAACAGGTGTCAGGGATTTAATATGTGTAAAAAAAGGATACGTTTGTACCAATCGAAACGAAAGGGTGCGAGCACGATTTCTGCTGTCAACTAATATGCCGATGAAAGAAACGTTCTAATGAGACTATACGGGTAGAAGCTTTTTTGGGATTTTCGGTCGGTCGTAAATTCCGTCTATGACCACTTCCTGTTACGGCTAAAAGAAATGTTCGGGTCATTCCAGAACTTAGGGTGGTTTGCGGTAATACATTATTATAATCATATCGTCATAATCGTTTCCGTGAAAATGAAAAATTTCACTGGGACAAATAGTCGCTGGTTTTGAGGTTTTTTATTGCTTAAGGATCGGACAGGTGTATATAGGTATACGAACGCTTTCTGATTTACGATTACGTTTCAATTTTCTCGTCCGATACCTTCTTAAGTCTTTCTCGAGTCTAAGAGGTAGGTGGAATTGCAAATCAGAAATAAAGTTAGGATTATTATCTGCGTCAGAGCGCGGTTCGACATTCTCACGTAAAGGTGGGCGTGTTAGGTCCGATGAGGACGTATCTCGAGGTTGATCTTTACGTGGCGTCGGAAATTCATTAAAAATTGCATAATTAAAATAGCTTCTTCCATCTCGATTTATGGCGGTGTCAGGACAAAAAGCCAACCATAGAAAAAGGATCACGGGGATATAGAACGTTTAGCATCTGCCGAAAGAATAAAGTCAAAAGTGTGCAAAATAATATAACCAGACCCACGTACCACGCGGGAGGATCATATTCCTTATTTATTATTTTATTGCACAAGGCGCGATATTCAATTAGCACGTAGCTGCAATAACGCAGTGGTTCTCATTTATTTAATTTTCTCTAATTCAATTTTCAGTTCACTGAATTTTCAATCAACATTTTTCTAATCGTCCAACTAATGATCTTATGGGAATCATTAGGATCATAACCTTTGGCGACAACTACTAATCCAAGTTAGATTACCACGATTAGACACAGGTGACCGGGACGATTCATCAGCACTGTCCACAGGGAGCTGGGGGACCAGTCGTTAGTCAAGAATTCAAGGAAGATCAGCTTCATTTTATTTTCTTCCGGCGAAAGGGTTCCACGGACAATTCTAAATGAACGGGCACGTATTCTGATATTTTGGCATCGCGCTATCCACAATTTTTTTTAATTCCATTTTTGCTCATATTTTTTCTCCACTCATATGCAGAAGAAAATTATTGAAGAAATCAATAAAAATGACGACGCTGAAACTTTGCTTATCAGTGCCTAGTACCACGTGTTATATACGCCAAAGGCAAAGACTATTCAGATGTATATATGTATTGTATATACATCTGCCATCTTACTGGTAGTACGTGCTACCTACGACTGTAATTTTGACACTCGAAGATAAAACAATTTGCTACGTTAAACGCGGTAATTGCAATGCCAAGAATAATTTCCAAAGTCAATTTTAACGGTTGGATTTAGCCGAGAGCAAAACATGGAATCTCTAAGTCCGTATTGGGATTGTTTAACACTACTATTTTAGCACCTCACGATAATTGCGGAGCACCAAATTCTTTTACGATTCTTCACCTTCGGGCCGGGTTCCCAAAAGCGCCGTATCTTCGCTATACAAAATTTGGCACAGGGTGAATTATGATTGGCGGTATTTTACGTGAAAAAAAAAAAAAAAAAAAAAAAA